AGAGAGAGAGAGAGAGAGAGAGAGATGGATGATTATTGATGATAGACCAATCAGAATCAGTTAGAATTCTTTAGTGGTGAGAGACTATGCATTCTCAGGAAATATGATTTCAGCTTAGAAGGTATAAAATCTTCTTCTTAAGATCATGGATTTTTTGCCCTGCATCTTTCTGTAAGACTATGCTTTATTTTAAATGGAATATTATATGTTTAATGTAAATTCCTGTGTGAAAGGCTTGACTCTAGAGAGATTTAAAAGGCCCTGTCTGAAAAACAACCGTGAATCTGAGACAGAACAATTTTCAGACTTGGCAAGCCACAGCTTAGGGAACAAAGATCAGATCACTGTCCTAATCAATGATGAACTGCATGGCTTAACAGACTGGATGGTTGGCCATACAATACAAGATAATTCCAGTGTTATCACTTGACGGATCTCCAGAATTAACAAACTAGATCTTGAGAACCCTGTATAACAAAGTTATACACAGGGGTTCTGAATCCAGCTGAATTTATTTTTAAAATTTCATTGAGTTCAATGGAATATATTGGTAATCATTATTATAGGTGTGCATGGTTTGAAAATTATTCAGAAGTGCTTCAAAGCATGCAGGAATGTTAGTGAAGCACTTCTTTAACATAGCTTTTTCTGAAGAAAAATGCAGCTACTTTAGTAGCTCAGAAATCTCTCTAGAGTCAAGCCTTTCACACAGGAACTTACATTAAACATATAATATTCCATCCACTTCTTGTAACAACACTAAAGCCTCCTGTCATCACAGGTAATTCTTCCATTTCTGGACACTGGTTCTCCTATCATAGGGATAAGCCATCAAACAGTGGGATGAGTCAAGACACTTCGAACAACAGATGAAGTAATATGCAGCTGCTTTAGTGAGTTGCATTAAAGATGCAGTTGCTTTCATGAGTCTGCTTCCATGACTCTCCCTCAAAAGATGCAAATGCTTTAAAGAAGTGCTGCACTGACACATTCTGAAACATTTCTTCTGAATCATTTTGACACATGTATAGTCCTAATCATTTGTTCCTGAAATGCTATTCTTTTTAATGAAATTTATTTCTACTATATCAAAGTAAGGATAGATGCTGAGAATGCTGGAAGCTGTATTGAACAGATTATTTCTCTGAGTCACAACAAACCGCAAATCAAGTAGTGGGTAGTGTATTTGAAGCTTAATTCCCAGAAATAAGTTTATCACTGTATTTACAATGACTGGGTTCATAATATGGGTTGTTTTTTACTTAATGCAAAAATGATATTTAGTGTATATGTGGAAAAAAAACTAGAGCAAGTATAGGTAGTCTTTGGGTTATGACCACTCGTTCAGCAACCATTCAAAGTTACGACAGTGCGAAGTTCTGGCCTTTGCAGCATCCCTGACATCATGTGATTGTGATTTGAGCACTTGGCAACTGGCTTGCACAATGGTTACAGCATTCTGTGGTCATGTGATCGCTATTTGCAGCCTTCCTTGCCAGCTTCCCAAAGTAAAGTCAATGGGGAAGCAGCAGGGAAGGTCGCAAGTCAATCCTGTAAGTTGCTCCTGTCGCTTTTTTTCCCTGAGGAGCCCTGCTATGGAGCCCCCTCACCCATGCTCTATAATGCCCGTCCACCCGTGGCCCCTGCCAGCCCATCCACACTTCATAGTGCCTGACTGCAGCACCCACACTCCCATGGCACCTGTGCACCCACACTCCTTGTCTGGGACTCCCATCTCTTCCCACTTAACAAGCCACATGGTCCTGGGGTTACAGCAGCAACCGGGACTGCTGGGATTGCTATCACTAAGTGATGTGGTCATGTGGCGTCATGCTTTACAACTGTGTTGCTTAGCAACAGGAATTCCAGTCCCAGCTGCCATTGTAACCCGAGGACTACCTGAACACAACTTTATCTACTGTGCTAGAATGTTTACTAAAAATGGGGAAATGAATGGAGTATATTTAAGTTGTGCAAACAGTGGTAGAAAGATAGTGGATAGTATGTGGTCTGTTGCAAGGAATGGATATTTATTGAAATAAACAAAAATAGCTGTATGTAAGAATGTGCTTTTGCCCACTTTCTTATATGGAAGTGAGAGTTGGATATATAAAGAAAAACATAAATGTTGAATACAGTGAGAATAGGGTATTAAGAAGTGTGCATGGTAAAAGAAGAAGAGACAGACTCAAGCAAGGTGATTAAAAAATGTGGATGGGATAAAAAAGTGAAGACCTTATGAAAGAAGCATCTTGATATGGTTTGATCATGCAGACAAGATGAATGAGGATGAAGTGGTAGAGCAAATATAAAAAGGAAAAGTGAATGTGTTTGAGAGAAAGAGGAAAACTGAGAAATCCGGGGTTGGACAGAGTTGTTGAGAAAAAGAGAGGTAACTAAAGAACAAAAGGCAGCATATGAAGCCATGGATGGGTGTGTGGGGGCAGCAAGGATGGCTTGCAATGAGGACAGAAAGGTATCAAAGTATACTGTGAATACTGTTGTTGTAAACTAGTTTTAGGTACGTTTCCTTTTCTTATCTCATGACTTTAATTTCTTTGGCTTTGTTTTTTTAGTGCTCAGGGTATCTTTGATTAGAAATTAATTATGGGAAACATTATATTACATTACATTTAAATACATTAAATTGTTTTAACAGTGTAAATAAGAATTTAAATCTCTGAACTAAGGGCCAAAATCTCCACTATTTGTTAAAAACTAGAAAAAGAAGAGAGAGAGAGAGAGAAAGAAAGAAAGAAAGAAAATAGTAAAACATTATAGGTAAATATTAGTTTCCAACTTCCTCTTTATCATTCTCTGACTAATGTATCCATTACAGACTCTGGTTTCTCTTCATTTTGTATAAATCTTATGTTTTTTGTTTTTGTTCTTTCATATTCCTTTTTTACACTCTGCTTAATGTTTACCCCAAAAGAGAATAGCCTGATGGGTGAGTTTGTATATATGAATACTCACTGCAATGTAAGATCTCAGCAACATGTTTGTTGTATTAGCCTAGCTATTTTGGCTTAGTCAACAAACATGTTTTAAAATTATCGCATGACATGTTAATCCAGGTCATGAAAATCATGCATAACAGGGGCATTAAATCTTGTCTTTCAAAATATTCCATATTTCTCCCAGTAAATACATCAGAACCCAGATCTGCTAGGCATTTAAATGCTAAAAAATAAGAGCCATTTTTTACTTTCTTCTATCTCATGCATTCATTCATTTTCTATGGCTACCTACTTGCCAGATGATTGTATACTTCTTGGTTTCAAAAGAGCTCTCCAAATAACAATAACACATCGACTTCTGATCTTTGTACTTTTTGTGTGTGTGTGTCTTCGAGTCAGTATTGACTCCTGGTGACTGCCTGGACAAGTCCTTGCAGTTTTCTTGGCAAGATTTCAGAAGTGACACCTGGACCATCTGAAGCTCTCCAGATACTGTGGGGACCCCAGGTTCCTGGTTTCTTTTTATGCACAGTTCTCTAAATTTGGGGCACCTCGTCTCTTTAATGCCATGCCATGTCTTTCCTTTCTTCTTTCTTTCTTCTTCTTTCAAAGCAGGCAAGATGAAGGCTACCGTGGTTGTGGCCATTTCCCACTCCCACACAGAGCAAGCAATACCTCTTAGTCACTCTTGGTGGCAGGGGAAGGAGCCGGATGTGGGGACCTCCCTTTCAGAAGGGAGCTGGTCTGAGGTCGGTACTGAGGTCAGTACTTAGGGAGAAAAAGGCACCTGGAATGGTTTTTCAGCCTAGTATTTCTTCTTCTTATAGCAGTTATATCAAGGAGTTTGTAACAAGGAATTTTCCTGTGGAAAACCTCTGATGGGCTGAGCAGATTTAGTGTGCTCTGGCTTTGCTTTATCTCTTAAAGGAAGACACTTCTTCAGTGTTCAATGTTTCACTTACACTCTTTTTTTCTTTTCTGGGCTGCACATAGCTAGGTTCAGCTCCAGACATATCAGAGTAATAAGCCTTTTGTCAAATTCTGTAAACTGGTTTTTGCCTGAACGCTGCTAATTAACATCCGGGCCCTTAGTCCTGGTCTAATCCATTATTGTTTTTCTCTGTCCAGCTATGGCACTGTACGTCTCGGCTTCTGGGTATTTTAGATCCCGGATTCCTAGATTTTACTTTGGGATCTCCAGCCTGAAAAGTGTCTTCCCCCCTTCTGGACTAGACATGTCCCAGCTCTGTGTTTCAAAACACGGTCCTTTGCTTTACATCATCTGGCTTTGACTCTCTAAAGATTCTAAAATTAAACAGAAGCAAATGAAATAAAGAAGAAACAAATAATACCCAAAGAGGATTTAAACATACAGAATATAATGCAAAAGACCCACAAGGCTGGAACAGCTCCCCAGTGAGGAAAGTCTCTGACTTTTGGGCTTGTTATTTTAGGCCAAAAAAAAAAAAAAGTTATGAGTAAAGAGAAACATGATAGAATTGTATAAAATAATGTGCAAGGCATAGGAAAATGGAACAGGAGAAACTTTTCTCCCCTGTCTCATAATCCTAGAAGACAAGCCTCTTTCAGGAGTTGTTCATAGAATAGAGCTGTTATAAGATTGATTACCATTGGTATGAAAAAAATGCTACTATGCAAATTTGTGCATTCTATTCCCCATCTTTTAACATATATAAATTTAATATATCAATATATACTAAAAGAATGCCCCATCTTTTATATATCAACACCCACACATTCACACAAGTTTACAGAAGATTGCAAGCAAGCAATGTTAGCATGTTTTCAAATTTGCAAAAAACAGAAATTTTAAGTGTGAAAAATGCACAAATGTACTATGAGCTGCATTAAAATGGTTCTTGGGTAACATAAATGAAAGGGTTGCAAGACCTTTGTATCTTTTGAGATGTTGTAACTGTAAACAGATAGGTACTTTTCTATTATATGGTGTAAATAATGTAAGAAACACTAGGATATTATCTTAGTAATGCAGACAGTACAGTGGACACCATTTGTCATGATTGACAGACTAGTAGAACCAAAGTCATAGTGATTATGTATCACCTTCAGCTACATCATTTAGGATGACAAGGACTGCAAAGAGAAGAGGGGGTGAGGAGATGCCAACATATCCAGTGGCACGGTGGGGCTAAGAAATGGTACATGGCACACCACCAAGGGGAGAGAGGCAGATGGTGGGAGAGCTGGTTAGTGACAGCCAGAAGAGGTCACAAACCATGCTAGTCTGCTAAAAGAATGCAATCCACCCAGCCTCTTTCTATATTCTTATGATGATATTCTTCATCTGATTTATCAAGAGGTTTTCTGATAGAACACCTTGGAAAGCAAGCCAATGTCATAATTAATTCAATATATCCCATTTTCTTAATCCAATTGAGAAAATAGCAGAGCTGTAACTTGTTGCCAATACTTCTGCAGCAGAGAATCATTGTGTGATATTATGGTTATTTCTGGAATGAATATGACTCTATGAACTAATTATTTCAGTTCACGTTAATGATAAACTCTTAAGAGCAATTGAAACTTGCACTTATTTCAGAGTTCACTTTGCAAGATATCACAGTCATATTGCTATTAATATCATAAAACTTTCAGGGAAATTGCTTTGTAATTATGGCATAGAGATGTGAAGTGTGATATGGGAAAGTACAAATCTCTCTAGCAACCAATAGCAGTACAGCACTGACCTTTGCTTCCAGCAAGGTGAAAACTTGGAGCAGTCATTTGGTGCTCACTAGTTCAGCATTCAGTGTCTTAATTCAGCCTCTCAAAACAGTGCTCTTAAGATGTGTTAGCATTTTAATTTCCAAAATTCCTAGACAGTGTAACTGCTGGCCATCCTAAGGGGGATTCTGGTGTTTGTAGAGCTGAGAAAGCTACTTTAATGCAAAGGCTTTCAGGTTTACTACACTGAGAAAATTAGCATAGAAGCCAAGAAAACAATTTCTTCATGTGTCCATTTTCTACAATGTCTTTAACAGTAGCCTGACAGATAAATTAAGCATGTGTATTTTTCCTTATAGTTTTATCTCCATGCCAGGAAAAATGTCACTCAATTTAGTCTTTTAATTTATCATGCTGAACTTTAAGGGACCCAAGAAATTTTGGCAAATCAAGGCATTGATGGCTCCATTGAGACTCCTCTTTGACTGATTATGTGCCATCAAATTGGTGTTGACTCTTAGTGACTACATAGATTTTCTCCATAATGATCTGTCCCTAACCTGGTTCTTCAGATCTTCCAACAGTGCACCCATCACCACTGTACTTGAGTCCATCTACCTTGCTACTGATCATCCTCTTCTCTTTCCTTCCACCTTTCCCAGTATTAGAACCTTCTCCAGAGAGCTGGGTCTTCACAGAATGTGTCTGAAGTAGGATAATTTGATCCTGGTCATTTCTACCTTGAGTGAGAACTCTGGGTTGATTTGTTTGATGATCCATTTGTTTGTTTTCCTGGCTATCCATGGTATTCTCAGGAGACTTCTCCAACACTAAAGTTCAAAAGCATCAATACTCTTTCTACCCTGTTTCTTTAAAATCAAAAGACTCCTCTTCAGCTGTTGTAAAATAACTGCATGAGATGCTTGGGAATATAAGGAGATCTGTTTCTTTTTTTTT